AGCCCATATTCGAATGAAAACTTTTCTTTAAAAAAAATCACATTTGTCAAGCACAAGTACTTGTAAAATAAAATCCGAGTGCATCCATTCCACTTGCTTGCTAATGTATATTAGTCTTATCTGTTAAATGGATTTTTGTAAATTCAACAAGAACTTCTCACTCATTCAAGATCATAGAAATCAATACCCAGTAATTTTAGTACTATTGTTTCTGATTTCTATTTTTTTTCAAAAATGACACAAATCTGCATGCACTTTTCCATCTGTCACATATAGTGTACATTTCTGTATGATGAATTTCTCTTTGATGTTTCTTGTATAGTAGCTTTCATTAATAAACATTTTATTTGATGCAAACATAGTTAACTTTATGTAAACACACAGCTAATTGCTACAATTAATTTAAACTTTCCTTTTGAAAAGCGGCAGTAAGTGCAGTTCCAATACTTAACACATAGAAAATCAAAAGGAGGAGGTAGCAATACAGTTGCACTCTGTAAAACTATTTCCCGTGGTACCTACTTCTTAATTTTTTAATTTGTTTTATAAAACTGAAATGTTTTTAAAAAAATTCATCATCACCAACAATAAAATAACTCCTAAATTCATCAAAATAAGTCATCATAAGCAGTATGATATATAAAATCATAAATGACTTTTAGAGTACTAGGATATAATTTGTAGATCCCAGAGCTGTTTACATAGTCACTATGCAATGAACAAGCACGTCACAAAAAGTCAGTCCTACGATTCCCAGTTCAAATCACAGATGATTTTTACAAGCCAACAGACAAGCGTAACTATAACCAGTTCTTAGTAATGAGGTTTTGTAACTGTTAAGCAACTATTTGCAGAAAGGTTTTTTAAAATATATTCCTATTTAGCTGTATAGCCAAAGCGTATGTTAGACAAATTAACATATAAAAGACTTGCCAGAAAATCTTTCATTAAGATGACATTTTTATTATATACTAATGAACCCTATGTAAACAATGTAACTTTTATGAATGATGGACATTAAATATTTCACTTACATGTATCTTCAGCATTTTGCATGTTTTCTTAAACTCTTCCATTTTCCGAATTCTAAAAAGAAAACCATACAATTATTAACAGCATAACACCAAGTTACATACAGATTACTGCAGTGATCTCTGGAAACCGGTAACCAAGAGTGTTCTAACTGCAATAAAAAGGTATCATTTATTGGTGGCAATTATGGGAAGTATTGTTTAAACAACAGTTTTATGGCATGTTGTAAAGTTCTATTGAAAAAGGTTAGCATGGAGGACTTAATTCAAGTCAGCTTGATCAGAAATTTAAGCATATTGTGAAATGCTTAAATGAAGCCTCGTGTGTATTTATTATTGCAGAAAGTTAAATGAAGGTAGGAAAGCAATTATTCATATCACATCTACAGTGTGATTTCCTCCTGTTATCYATAGGAAAACATTACAAACACTACAATGTTATTCAAATCAGTTAAGAAGTTGGTGGTATTTATGGCCAAGAGAAAAATCTACGTACTAAAATTGATTTTCATAAATCACTACATTCTAGAATACGTTGATTTCCTGCCCCCTCTATTTTAACTCTTAAATACTTACTTCTAGTTTACATTATTGCTGATCTGCTGTTATCTCTCATCTGATTTAAAAAAGAAAAAGACAGTAACYAAATATTCTTGGTAGAACACTAGCCTCACTGAAGACAATGGCAAAACTATAATTGATTTAGGTAGAATCAGGACTACTTTATTTCTTCTTGTCGGATTAGGGATATAAAGGTTTGATTCTTTCCTTAACAGTGATAATCCCGCACACGGTGCTTTGCTTGGCTAGCTGCAATAGCCACTTCAAGGTTTTTGCAAGATAAGGGCATCTGACCGTGCGTTAAGAGAGGTAAACATGCTCAAAGACAGTATTTCACTATAAAAAAAAAAAGGGGGGGAAGAAGTAATTTCAAACAAGATTTGAAAGAATGCAAGACAAATTATGTTTTCAAAATTGCCACAAATAAGAAATGTGTAGGGGGGGTTATTGCTCTGACTGTATAGGATATATATCCACATTTAAAGTACCAAATGCAGCATTTCTTTGAACTTTTGGTCTTGAAAAAAAAATCAAAATGTGCAAAACTAAAACTTCTTACTCAGAATTATTCACCAGAGAAATGATATGCAGGACCTGGTCAAATGACAGAAGGCTGACACCACAGCCCACTGAAAGTAGTGGATATTCTCTTCCTGATTCAGTAGGCTTTGAGACAGGATCTGAATGAACATAAAGATTAAGTTATCCTCTTGTCTCTAAAGAAAGCATAACTTCCAGAATGAGATAGAATATATAGGACAGCCATGCCATTCTGTGCATTGGACTTCATTCTACAGTGCWGCTAATCTAAGCACCTGGCACATGCATTAAATTGACTTCAAAATACTTCTCCTTCCTTTACCCAAATACAGGACACAAATTATACTATTGGAATTTCCAGAAGCTACTACAGTGTTGAAGACTTTATTCAGTTATTCTGCAATGTTGAACAATTCTTCTGCACTTCTCTCTTGATGTAGACTTATCTCGACAGATACCTATACACATATCCTTGTCTTGCCTTCAGATAACCAGCACTTTYATATTTATTTAAGTCATTCAGACCTATAGAAAGCTACTCTCCATGGTTACACTTTCTAGCAAAAACAGTTGTCATAATTTTTGCTTTCATTCTCCTCTACAGTAATACATTTATCTGAAGTAGTTTTTCTTATGACTTTGTACCTTTTCATGCTTGTAATAGCAAAAACTATATTGCTTGAAATTCATAGGAGTATGGWTTATTTTGCCTGTAGTTCCCCTAATGTCCAAAACAACAAACTTCTTGCAACAAATGAAGTCATGGCTTGCATATTACTGTAAGGATATTTTGCTCTACAAAATGATTTTATCATAAAAAATGATATCAAACACATTAGATCCCAATTTGCACTGATATTACTAGTATTAAAAATGGCAGCTTCTTGATTGCATCCAATTCTGGATCAAAAGTGCTTCTGATTTTGGAAATGGGATTGCTATCAGTCGATAGCAAACTTTTTGAAATAGCTGATACTTGTTACTGCAAGGAGCAGAGGGCTAGACTGAAAGTCTGATCTGACTTGATAGAAAACAGTGTTATTGTCTGGTTTGACATCTTTTCAAACTGGACTTTAACAGAGGGTAAAAATATTGTCAATAACTATTTTACTGCTCGAAAATAAAAACTACATATACTCCCATTTTGCACTTCAACCACACAGCTCAATACAAATTTCTGAGTCTGAACAGAAGCCATGTTTTGAATCTGTTAGACTGCTGTATACAGGAAATAAATGACAAGGAAAGGAACAAACTAAGRAATGGTTATCAAACTGCAAATACAAGCAGTCACTGTCTAAGTGGCAGTTTTGTATTTTGGACATTATGAATATTTATTTAACCTTTTTTCTTCGGGAAATCTTACTTACCTGAGACTAAATAAGAAAGTAACTTGCTGTGGTCACTTGTAAGCTGATCATACCACAGAGATGCAAATGAATTGCAATGCGTAACAAGATTTGTTTTTCTTAAATAATTATATAATGAACTACTAGAATCTTTCCCAATATCCTAAAATAAAACGTAACATACAAAAATCAGACYGCACAAATTAGTATCCCATATTAACATATAAAGAAGTACTTGCTGAAGATTTCCGTTTAATTCAGAACAGATAATTAACTTGATCAAATAAATACACACATATCCCATTACAAGGAAGAGCCATAAATGTAGTCTCAGTAGGGAAGACAAGAATAAATTAGAAACAAACTGACTTTGCAGCTCAGAGGTGAATATTTTTTAACTGCAAAGATACTTAAGGAATTACCACTCAGACTGCACTCCTAAATGGTAGACAATGCTTGTCATTTGACTTTTTGTTTTTTAGTAAAATTAAAAGACAAAGTGAATCATAATACCAGTGATTTTTAAAATATAAGTCAAGTTCAATTCACAGTAGTCACAGAAATACCTCTTCTCTCCTCTCCTTTTTTTTTTTAATGACAGAAGAGTAATGGAGAACACCTTTTTTTTTTTTTTTTTTTTTTAATGTGGATTTCCGAGTAACTAGTTTCTACAAAATCTCTCTTTTATCCTCTGAAAAAAATGTGCTATTAGGTTAAATAAAATTTCACTACAAAAGCCTTTCAACAAAAATAGGCGGAATCCTCCATTTTATGTTGCTTTTTTCAGCATCTTTGAACTTTTGTTTTTCCTATAACATTTTTACATATGTAAAGCCAGTCTGTGCAGTAACCCAAATACAGTCTTACTAGCACAACACACTTTGCTTTATAGGAGACCTTTCATTATATTTAAAGCCAAGAACTGACCGTGTCTTATTTTGAGCAGTTTTTCTCCATTAACTTTTAATCACTTATTTATTTATTTATTTATTTATTTTTGGGCGAAGTGCCCAAGGAACAAATACGCTACACAAGGAAAGCAGAGAAGGAAGCGCTCCCAAGTTATCACCGACTCACCTATCTCTGGCTTTTGACGGACTCCCGTCATCGCCTCCCATGCTGTTGCCCTGGGTTAACACTTCTTCCCTAAAGGCTGCAGCRAGGGGTAACTACGTAACAGGCCAGATTTCATGGGTGAGGAGAGGTGGCTGCCTCCTCTCGGGCCATTGACACCTTTCGTTGACGCTCTCTACGCGCTCAGGTTGGCTGTATGAACAGTTGGCCCACGCTGCCCAACGTTTACCGATTTATTAGAAAAGGAAAAGGCAGCGCACACCGCATCACACCCCGTGTCACCCCCCGAGGGGCCTGAGGGACCAGAGGGCGCTCGTGAGCCCCAACGGCTCTAACGGTCGTAACGGCCGTAACGGCTGCAACCGCCGCGCTGGCCCCGCCCCGCCCGCCGCGTGGGTTCCATTTAAGCGGCGGCCGCGGCAGGGCGGCCCCACCCTCACATGCAGCTTCGGAAAGGAACCTGAATTTCACCTTCAGTTATTTTTATTACTACTTTTATTTTCTTCTGGCGTGGCTCGCCTTTGTCCTGGGGTCTCCGAGGGCCCAGATTCAGGAAACTCATTGCAGCTCCTTAAGATTTGGGAGCTAAAGCAGAGCCCTGGCCCTTGGGGGTAAGAGCCTTTTGTGCTGCTTGTGGAAAGTAATTTTTTAATTATTATTATTACTGGTTTCCCTTTGTGTTAGACATTATTTGAGCTATTTAAAGAAGTCAGTTGTGTTTGGTTTGCCATTATGCATATTGTGAAGTTGTAAAGTTTCTGCTTATCAGGATACTGAGTATTAACTAAAGGCAGGGTATTTACTGAGTGTTAACTAAAGGCAGGCTGTTTTGAGGAGAAAAACAGCGCTTGGTTTGGTCATCACAAAACTGCCCTGGTGTCACCATCGTGCTGCAAAGGGAGAAGGGAGAATGTCCCCCCTTCTGGAGGGAACCTCTGCAGGTATCCTTCATTCCAGCCCTTGGCTAGTGTTTTTTGGAAGGAGAGGAAAGAAGCATGGGAGCCTGTGGAAGGGCAAGGATTGATTGGAGCCCAGGCCTGGGGCAGCTCTGGTCATGCTCTGCAGTGTCCCAAGTGCTGGGTGAAAGGGAGAAGTGTTGCTGTGCACTGAGCTCAGCTTCCCTTGGCTTTTTCTTTATGAACACAGTAGTGACATTTTTTTTTTAGCTTTGATATAATGATGTGGAATGCCTTGGATTTCTGTTCAGTGAGGAAATAAAGATGTTTAGTCCAAACTGAGAAGGCAAATATTTTCTAATACAAAAAAAAAAAAAAGAAAAAAATCACTTTTTTTTGTCAATCACTTTCTACTTTTTAAAATGTCTTATCTTTTGTCAGAGATGGACAAAAATGAGACTGGAGCGCTAAGCAAATACAATGCTGAGGTCTGTAATTTAAGAAAACGAGGTAGAGGCTGCAGTTTAGCCCAGTGAACTTTGGTAAGCAATTTCTAAAATCATGCTTAATTGAGCAAATGATTTGCAAACCTAATGGATAGTTGAAAACATTTGCAGTAGTCAGACACACAGTTTTATCCTTGTTCCCAATATTACCCTGTTCTTTTCAGTCTTGCAAGGAAACATTTTCCAGTGGTTYGAAGGGACCTTGATGTGTGCTATTGCTCACAGCACTCTGTGATGCTCTAATGTCTCCTCCACCGTGTGCTCTAAGTGTGTTCCCTGAAGATAACAGATGTGTTATTTTGAGTGTTGCTTGGGTATAAGAAAATCTAAGCCAAAGATAAATTCAAATGATGTTATGGCCCTAACCTTAACTATCAAAAGCAAGAAAACTTCGCATGCTTTGTTGTTGTTTTTGTTTTAATTCTTACTCCCTGCTCTTACAATGGATTGTGGTTGAGATTCCATAATGCTGTTGGTCTTGTAGTTTTGTGGAGCACTATGTAATACTAATGGACAGCAGAACCCTGATAAGGAGATAAGTGATGAAGCTCTGCTTTCTCCTACCAACTTGCATCCACATGCTATGGCCCCCTTCCTGGAAGTRTGTGTGTCTTCCTTACAATGTGGGATACTGCTGTAGTGTGTTTAAAGGGAGTAATTTATACCACTGAAGCTAAGCAGAGGCATAAATCCACACAATCATGGTTTAACAGGTTTTATCTTCTAAGAGACTCTAAAGATTATCTGCTATGTTAGTAGAGTATGAGCCAAAATATCCCTGTAGGACCAGAGCTTTGCCTTGTTTGTTGACAGTTGTTTAAGATGGAAGTAGTTGCATTAATGGTCAAAAGTGCAAGTGGTCAAAAGTTGAAATGACAGTTTGAATATTTCACAAATGTGGCACTGCCATGTATGTTTAATACATCCTGGACATAAGTTGTTACTTTGCTGACTGACACAGGAAGAAAAGATGTGCTTTTGGTATTTCAAGTTACAGCAGTAACTGTATTTATTCTGTGCAGTGAACTTGGGATGCTTCATGTTTAGTGCAGCACTAACATAACAGTGCACGGCTTGGTAACCAAGAACACCAGGATTTGGGGTTTTATTGCTCATGTATTATGCTGCTGAGGTAATAAAGTAGACATTCTGAAGGGGAGCAGAATCCAGCAGTTCTCTTGTGACCATGCTAATACCACTGAAAGCACACAGTTCCACACTCCTGCAGGTCACCTCAACAGGACAATAGTTTGCCCAGAGTGCAGAGCCCCTCGTGTGTGGATGAATCGCATCCCTGTGGGCTGGTGTCTGCATCACTGCTTCCCTGTGCTCTGCTGACACTGACATGTGTCACACGGAGGCTGCTGCTTGCTCTGTGACTAACGGTGCGCTGTGTCCTCAGCTAGTTCTTAGCCCGTGGTGCTACTGGCTGTCCTGCTCAGAGCTTTCCTTCCAGAGCCTCTGTGCTGCTGCTGAATGCACAGCCCTCCCTCTAAGTGACACTGTTTGGCCAACTGAGCGGTTACTCRCATCAGAAATCGGAATACCAGTATGGCCACATGAAGTATCTTTTAATAATATTCTGTTTGTGCTGGGTGAGATATTGGTAAAATGCAATTACGTGCACTTTGGAAATCCTCTGAAAATTTGTTATAACCCTATGCCCAGGTACATTTTATTCTTCTGTGATTAAATATCAAAACAGAATTGCAATAGAAAACTGAACAGACAAATAAACCTCTGTGTCCTTCCCCCAGAAGGAATCACTGTCATGTGCGCAGTCCTTWGGATCTTGTTGTCCAGTGTGCAAATTCCCTTGTGATGAGTATCACCTGGCTGCAACCTCACACATGGCTATGCTACAGCTCTGTCTTTAATCAAGTTGTGCAATAACTGCACTTGAGCAACTTTCAAGAAACCTCTAGACTCCAAACTGTGAAGTCTGTGATTCTTCTTTTTTCTCTCCTTTTTTTTTATTTTTTTTTATTTTTTTTTTATTTTGCATTGTTGCATTGCAGATATTTTGGAAGGGAAATAGGGCCACAGCTGAGTGGTGCACATTGAACATGACTGGAATTGAATCCATGTTGTTTGTAGCCACCCTCAGGTTGAGGAGCCTGTCAAAGGGAGTACTTGGGCATTAGCCAGGTGTTTGCTAGGTACTGCCACTTAAGAGCAAGCAGTGGTGGTGCTGCTTTCACTGGGCCTGAGGGGCACCCTTCCCTGCATGGGAGTGCCCTTGTGCTACTGAATGTGAAATCCASTAAATGGCGCTGGGAAAGTGAAATCTAAGGTTTCTGAAAAATGCTTAGTGTGGAGGCAAATGTATCAAATATGCTAACAATTGTTGCATGAAACTATAATCTTATGACTATTATGCACAGATATTTATCTTGTTTGGTAATGGATTGCTTTTGTCACTRGAATACTCTGCAGTAAGTAAGAGTGGTAGGTGATGTACAGGTACAACGTGTGCACTCTAACTCACCAGCCTAATAGCGAGTTCTTTATTCAGACTTCTTTTTCTGCTGTAGCCATGAATCCTGAATCCCTTTTTCTTATTTCACTCTTGCCTCTTGTTGTATGACACCAATGAAATTTTGCCCAAATTCACACTGGAACTGTGAACAGGATCAAAGTCTGTGGTGTAATTAAACCCATCCCACTCCTGAGAATTCAATCTCTTTCCCAAAAGCTGCTCCAAATATTAAAAAAAAAAAAAAGGTTTGCTTGTATTTACTGTTGTCATCTGTTTCCCATTATCTATATTTTGAAAGCTATATAAGGAGAAACATTCAGTAAAACATTTTATTAGAGGTTTGTAAGCTACATAGGAAAACTGAGGAAGTACTCAGCAAGCAGGGCAGTGGGTTAAGTGAGCTAGATGGACCCAAGGTGGCATTTGCACCCTGCATCATACAGTGTGCAGTGAGGTGCACAGTGGAGAATGTAGCAACCAAACTCACGCACCATAATCTAGACTTATTAGTTGTTTTAGAAATTACAATTTCATGTGATATGGTAGACCAGTATCTGAATTTCCACATATTAAGAATTGTGAAATTAAAGACTTTTTAAGTAGAATAAAATAACTTTTGGCAAATGTGCTAGCATGCTGGCAAGTCAGATATTGCTTCCTGTGGTTTTGTACTTTATAATCCTGCTCTAAAACATGGCCAAGGGCTCTTCTTAATAGAATAAGTGATGTATTTGGAACTAATTTCCAGCTGATTAGTCATCTTTGAGTTCTCCATTCTTTCACTGGCTGCATATAACTGCGTATTGGCAATGCTATGTGTTTTATTTACCAAGAGCGAAGCTGCCTCAGCTYCATGTAGCTCCAACTGTGCATATCCAGTAACAGCAAGGCTATCACCACCCTGAAATCTGCGAGGCAGCAGAGGAGAAGAGAGCAGGCAGCAGCACTATGGTGCTCCAAAATTCTTGTGGCATGGAGGGACTTCTGGAGCAGTGGTTCTCTCATCTCAGAGTACATCTGAGCCTCCTTCCGCAGCACCACCTTAGTTGCAGTTGTGCCTGCAGGGCAGTGTATTTTGCGTTGCTGGATTAAAAGTGATGAAAATATTGAAGAGAYAGGATCTGTAGCATTATAACAGATAAAACTGTTTCAGCCCTTTATCATTTTGTTGGAAACAAGCAGCACAGTACATTTGACTTTAGGAGAGCAAAAAAGTGTGTGTGTGTGTGTATATATGTATATATATGTCTTTTCTTCATCCATGAGAACTAAGGCCTCTCTACCACTAGAGGGTGAGACAAGTACAATACAGGTATTGGAGCCTAAGCCATTTCTGTAGAGGCTACAGCTGCAAGTTAATATGCAGACGGGACCTCAATTATTATCTTGGTTTATTTCTATTTAGGAGAGAGGGGCATGGTGCAGGATTGATAAGCTGATAAGCTCATATATTAACATGGGACTGAAAAGGAATGGGAGAGCAATGTGTGATAAGGAACAGTGGAACAGAGCTTAATGTCTAGTTAATAGATTATCAGGACTTTGGGACAAATTATCAGGACATGATTACGAAAGAAAAGTTCTGATTTCTGATTCAAGAGCTGAATCAAACTTTTCTGCTTCAAGAATGAAATATTATTGGGTGAGAATGCTTTCCTCATTTTGTAAGAGAAAATCTGAAAATCAGTTTTCTAAGTTCCTGCTTGCCTTTGATCCACATGACCTGTACTATCTTTTTCTCATTCTCCTGTTTTTCTGCCATTCTTTTCTTCCTGCTGAGCAAGATGGCCTGATGCAATTGTTCTGGTGCATCTTTTAGAGCTCTGAAGTGTTTTGTGTAGTCTAGTTCATTTACATAGTTCGTAGTTCTGACAGGAAGCTCTAATTCCTCCGAACATCTATTCATCCTCAGAAAATCCAGTTTGGCCAATGTTTCTTGACTAAGCATTTTACAAATAAGCCATGTTTTGATGCTTACAGAGCCTTGCTAGATTCTTCTCTCTGAAGACTTTCCTAACCCACAAAGTATGCCATTCACATCACGTGGGGGGAAAAAAAAACTACTTATAAATCCAAGATTAATATAAATCAATATGCTGCTGCTTTAGGAATGATATTTGCTGTTTAAAAACAAAAAGCAGGTTCCATAAGGTAGTGTAACATCATAACATCAAATAATTCCTTCCCTCCCCTGCCCCCCCCCCCTTTTTTTTTTTTTGGGATTTTTTTTTTTTTTTTTGGGAGGTGTTCTGGTAAATTCTGTTAAACACTTTTTGATAGTGACTGCTGCTGCCTGGTTACTGTCTTGTTGCTTTAGTAACCTGAAGGCCCAAATGGAGCTTYCATTCCGTTAGGATACGGTTTGATATTGAGCTTCTGCCAGCAMTACAAAGGGTGTGAATGTGTTCAGGAGAAGCAAAATTAAGTGTCACTTTGAGCAATATTAAAGGTAGAGAAGAAAATATTTCTTTGTAAATATCATGGGCGGCTTTAAACTATTGGCTGAAAGATTTTAGTTATTTATGGGAAATAAGACAACAGTGGTGAGAACTAGAGT